GACGGCACACCACTGGCGAGTGTGAGGGTCGGCGGCACGCTACAATAGTTAACCTCAGACAATTTGGTCATTTTTTTAAATGGTATATGTACTCTGTAATTAAATTTATCAGCAATCTACAGAATTTTCAACACCTGAAATGGAAAATGGCTGGGAAATATGTATTTGAACATGCAAAAGTTCCCCAGGTCCAATTCATAAAAAAAAGAAACATTGATGCTCAAAATGAAACATACTAATAGTCCAAACATGAAACATTTAGTGGTACCCACAACCACTATCAAGAAAAAATTGATACCAAGACCACAATTCTGATAAAGCAATATCCAATGTAGTATCTGGGCTAGGGCTATTTATTTGTGAATAACCTACTTGATGAATTTCTGAGCAATGGAGGGTACTTTGGTTTGAACCGCAATTCACTGGTTCACAAGTAACTATGAAATGCACCTGTTACAGTCGCACTGCTACCAACAAAATTAACACTCCCGACCAAAATGGCTCTTTTCAATCTATGAGGGTTACTTCTGCTTGAGGCAGATAAGCCAATAATACCACATTGGCCGTACAGAGGAAGGACAGAAGCTGGGAAACAGATTTGCCTGTTGCCTCGACAGCCTTCGCTGAGTTTTATTAACATCAACCACTGTTTTCCACCATTCAATATTATTAGATCACTTTACATGACAAATACTTGACTACATTTATAATCCTCCTGGATCAGAAGGCTAACATTTTGGAAATACATGTATCATAAGAGCTAATAGACCTTGCCTTTACAAGCAGCAAAACTGGTCTTACATTGGTTAAACTTAGACCATAAATGCGTCAGCAGTATTCATTGTTACAAAAACCAGTTGTGAGTCTAACACTTTGAATAAGGTGTGTGGCAGGAGTATTAACCAGCTCTACTTTTGCGAAGACGTTCTGCTTGGTTGCGCTAACAACTGGCATTTAATGATGGAAATCACAAAAATAAGGAATCTGGAATGAGTAACTTGAGCTTTACAGCCAATATAACTACAAAGATAGGTATTATAACTACAAGATAACCACAAGCACGTTTGACTTTTCACTTTTCCCTGTGTTCTCCCTAATTAATGGATTGGTGCGAGAAGAAATGGCCATTTTCATTTGTCTAGCATGTTTGGCAGGTAACTTCCCTTTCCTTATCTTTAGTGGAAGTTCGACCCCATCCTGACCACTAAGAGGTACAAGGGAGGAAGCCTGAGGGAAGAATCCAACAGGCTCGGGGAGGGGTAAGAAAACTAATATAAAAAGAAATTTACGCCGAAACCCACTCACTTTGGATGAATGACAAGATGGTTGGTGAGGTACATCCTCCTGAGCAGTAGCAGCACAAAGTACTAAACATTCCCCCTAGACCGTGCAGTCCGTAAGTCTCACTATCCAAGTGAACTTTTCGCGTCTTTCACGATTCTGCTTTCTTGATATTCAAAGGGAGGCAGCCACTGATCAAATTCAAGATGGCGCACTGTTCCGTACAAAAGTGTTGCAACAGCTGGCACAAGAAACAGTACAGTATTTCATTTCATCAATTCCCGAAGGATTCTGCCTGTAGGAAAAGATGGGTAGTGGCCATACGACCTGAGGAAGGTACCAACTTTAAGGTTAGTCGTGAATGTTGGGCCTACACCGGCCGCCGCCGTGCGTCGTTTTGTTGACACGACGGCGGTATGTCCTTTCACACAATTTATCCTTGACCAGTGCTGATATTGTTCAAACTCTGTTGCATATTAATAAATAAATGTTAGTTGGAAGAGAAGCACTGATGCGTAGTGGTTCTCTGCTAACAAAATTCTTACTCAAACCCTGATCACTGATGGTCATAGCAAAACTTTTAGGCCTTGCCTTCGCTTGAAACCATGTCACTCATACCCTCTTTCAATGCTGTACATCATAGTTTTTTATGTTTAGATATTTGTAAACCTGGGTATTGTGTATTTAGGCATTTGGGACCCTTTTTCTATAATACAAAAGAGAATTACATTTCAACTTTTGGACTCACCAGTGTAGGTGATTGTGACATAACTGCAAAGTTGATTTGGTAGAAAAAAAGGCAGGGGTTTTGAGGGGCATGACTTGGGTGATAAAGAAAAGTGATTGCTTTAACATGACAAATGGAGTCAAATTTGCATGGCTGGTTTTTCAGTCAAAAGTCACATTTTCTCCCAGTTTGTAATTGTAAGTTTCCAGAAAATAGGGTTGCTGCAATTTACAGATTGATTTTTTTCGGGGGAGGGGGCTGGCCACTTTTGCAAGATTAGAAATACTAAATAGTTGGGGGTCCCCAAATACATGATCCCTGTAAACATGGCCTACATTCACTAGATTACTTCAAGCTGAACCCATGTAGGCCTAGTACTAGCCAGTGCCATAATACCAGTGGTAAATAAAAGGGTTCTGCCATTTGCACAGATCACTAATCAAGCTCCAAGCACCACCATGTTTGCTGAGGTAATTTTCTCAAATTCAGTACATCTTTACTATGCCCATTCATTGTCCTACATCATACATGCACTTGTCAGTAGCATAAATTGTAACTTTGTTCAAATTGATTTTTTTTGGTTATATTTAAGGTGACGGATCGAACTTATGTTTGTTCGCAACATTTTCTGGAGACGGATTTTTCGAACACCATGACCGGTGTCCGAAAGCTGCATAAAGGTGTTATTCCTTCTCAGTTCTCCTGGACACTGAAAAAGATGAAGAGAACACCACCAAAAAACAGACACAGGGCCCACATCACCAAAGCTTAGACTTATCAGTTCGAATCAGATCCAAATTAAGCCCCATTTTAGTTTTTCAAGAAGGTTGTTGTCGTTCCCGTATGCCCAATAAAATAAAGCAACCATTAGAAGATCCCGCTTGTACTGTAGTGGTCTAGAGTTGCGCTTCTCGTCTGCACCAAAGTTCTGAAGGTTAGAAGTTCCAGTGAGAGTCGACTTAGCAGTAGGTAGTAGGAGAATTCCTAGTCAGTTTCCCTCCCTTGAAAACCCACCCGTCCTAACAAGTTAACAAAAATGAAAAATTATCATCAGATTTAATTGTCTATTAAATTGAGAAATATTTCCAAAACTAAAATCAAAATCGAGAAGGCGGACCAAAAACAAAATTCTAAAGAAAAGGAAAGAAAGAAAGGAAAGACACATTTAAATCCGTTAATGTGACCGACACCTGCTATTTTAAACTTTGTTTAAACTCTAATCATATCGATCAATGTAACAATTGTTTAGAATGTAACTATTGCAAATCTTGCAACAAATGAAAAACTTGTTAACATTGTGTGCACTGCTATGTTTGCGAAGATTGCATAACCTGTACCAATTGCATAGATTGCGTCCTTTGTCATCGTGTAAATTGCAACAGCTGTGATAGTAGTACCAATTGTGATCATTGCATCGAATGTGTAAATTGCATTGATTGTAATTACTGCATCAACTGCAAAGATTTATATGGTGTATTGTTTGTAGTATTTATAAACGACAGCAACAGCGGATACGCTGTTACATAAGGATTAGATTTAAAAAAGAAAATTATCCTGATTTTGAAACTTGGCTTTATAATTGAATATGACGAAGATATAGAGAGAATCCCTTACATATAGTCAAATTTAATAGATGAAGCAGATTGAGTCATTTAACTCATAAAAAAGAAAAACAATTATATGTTTTTAATCAATTTGAGCCATGGAAACTAAAAAGTGTATCTATTGTTGCAAAGAAAAACTGCTACCAGAGTTTAAATTAAAACTCAACAGAACATTAGAAAACCATAGGAAATGGAGTATCTGTAAACATGATCAATACGAATATAATTGCTGGGAATGTAGACCCATTACTAAAGAAAAAGCGAGAAATGCCAAAGACTACAAGCCTGAAGATCTATATTGCGAGCATCAAAAGTATAAATCGACATGCTGGGTATGTAATATTGGAAACCAAAATAGAGACCAAATAAAGGCGAAACGAAACATTTAAAACTAAATAAAAATAACCAACTCTCAAAATTGAGAGTTACATTTGAAAACAATTAGATATAATATAAAAAGGAGTAATATAAAAAAAACGAACAGACAAAATAATCCAGATGGCAGACCACTGCTCTATAACTTTAGATACTACAAAAAGTCATTTTTATCTGATTTTATCGAGCGATACAACATACCCTTACCCCCACCAAGGAAGAAGAACAAATTAACGTACTTTATTTTAGCAATTGCGAGAAAGCTCACTATTGTCGGATTAAAAATTTATCAAGGTTGATAGGTGACATCAACAAACACAACGGTAAACAATATTTTTGCTTTAGGCGTTTCTCCCACTTTCAAAACCAACAAAGACTAGTCAAACACAAAGAAGACTGTCAAGAAATAGACGTCGCGCCTTCTAAAGCTGTGCTCCCCGAAAAAGGAAAGAACATTCTCAGATTTGAAAACCACAAAAATTAATAGGATGCTCTATTTGTTATCTATGCAGATTTCGAATCTGTTTTAGAGCCTCTTTTACCTGAACAGGCCAACACGATCAAAATTCAGCGTCATAAACCATGTGGTTACTCTTACGCAGTCGTGCCTTGCGACAGTGTCTGCATGAGTAGCAAAACTTAATGAGGTCAAGACATAGCCACTCATTTCATAGAGTCTCTCTTGCGAGAAACAGAAACGATTAACGAAACGTCAGCCAAACCAAAACCACTTGTTTGGATGCCTAAATTACAAAAACAACACGATAAATGCAACGCCTGTTGGATCTGCGAGAAGCATATCTATCCAACTGAAGAACCGCAGTGTCAATGTCCTTTTCCTAGAGGACTAAAGGCCAAAAGATAGACAATCCGCAAGGCGGTACGTATATTAAATTGCCCAAGTATATCGAAAATGAGAAGGCCGTAATAAACATTAAAAACGGAGATTGCATTCGTTGGGCAATATGCGCGGCTTTTAAATTATATTCAGATGAAGTCAAACGCAAAATTGAAAGGGATCCATGTTATCGAATAGAACGCGTAAAACTAACAACTTATAATCCACATGAATTAGATTTCACTGGCATAGACTTTCCAATACCAAAGAACCAAATTCTTAAAATAGGAGCACAAAACAATTTATCCATTAATTTATATGGGTAGGCACGTTTACCACATTATATTTGTCTAAAAACGTTTCGACAGGTAGACATGTTGACTTCTTGTTATTCGACAACGGCCACATACAACATTAGTGTTGGATTGAAAACAAACCGCGACTCATTTCAAATTTGGTGCCATGGCCACGCCATTTACAAATGTCTCAAATGTCAATGTATTTTTCACGAAGCTGACAAATTCACCAAACACCAGGAAGATTGCCTAGGATTAGACGTGCCCGTTACTAAAGTAATGCTACCGCCAGAAAATGACAATATATTAAAACTCGGTCTGAAAGATGACAAAAATAAACAATTAGCACCTTCCGTTGTTTACGCTGATTTTGAGTCCGTGTTAGCACCAATGCCACCTGCTAATGGCAACACGGTTAAAATGCATTTACATATCGCTTCGGGGTATGCATCTTTCATTATTCGTAACGACGGCGTTTGCATTAAGCGTCAAACTTACCGTGAGACTAATGCGGGAAAATCGTTTGTTAGGTCGTTATTATTAGACAGACGCGCAATAAACAAAATATTTGAAAAGCCAAAAATAATAAAATGGAACTTAGAATTATCCAAACCGCATCGAAAAATAATATCTGCTGGATTTGTGAAAAACAAATTTGGCTCGACCAATTCGATCAGCGCCATTGTTTAAAACTGACAGAGCCGAAAACTATAACTGACAAATCGAAATTCACCAAAATGAGAGAAGACACTTGCATGGTATGCCAAAAGCCAAATAATAAATTTCGCAGAGTTTGCGGCCATTGTCACGTTACAGGCAAATATCGCAGCCCGGCGCACCATTTATGTAATTTGCAATTGCAGATTAAACCGTATAAAACAGACATTTCCGTGTTTCTAAATAATTTGGAAAATTACGACGCACATTTGATTATTTAAGGGCTGTCAGCAAATACGGCGGAAAAACTGCGTTGCATTCCCAACAATTCCAAAAAGTACATTTCGTTTTTAGTGGGTCAACTCAAGTTTTTGGATTCATTTAATTTTTACGAGTATATACGAGTATATGGATTCATTCGAACGATTTGAAGAAACTCGTTTACCGCCACGAGAAGCTTTTTATAGTTCATTGAAACAGGGAGATATATTAGAAGAAGAATATCACCATGCTCAAGAAATTTTTCAAAAGTTGAAATGTAAAAACCTGGGTGATTTCCACGATTCATACGTTAAACGGATGCGTTGTTATTAAACTGTGTGTTGGAAAATTTCCGCAAAGTGAGCTGCAAAAATTACGGTTTAGACCCGGCTAATTATTATGCCGCGCCTGGTCTGGCCTGTCACGTCTTGTTAACATTTTCCAAAATAAAACTGGAACTTTTGAAAGACGTAGACAAACGGTAGTATTTTGAGCGCAGGAAACAAACATTACGCCAAAGCAAATAATAAATATTTGCTCGATTATCAGCCAAGCAAACCGTCGACTTACATTATAGATTTAGACAAAAATAATCTTTATGGCTGGGCAATGAGTCCACTGTTACCCGTTGGAAGATTTAAATTGGGTAAACAATTTGAAAACTTTTACAAGTGATTATATTTTGCAATTGGCAGCTAACGGGCATACGGGCTACATGCTCGAAGTCACGTTGGATTCTCCCCAACAGTTACATGACGAACACAACAATTTCCCTTTGGCTCCGGAAAACATCCAAGCGAATGGTTATCGGCTTATCAAAAACAATGCATTGACCTAAACGAAGAAAAACTTGCCGCGGTGAATAAATTGGTGGCCACTTTGGGCACAAAGGAGAAATGTAAATCACATTATCGAAATTTGCAATTGTATTTACAACTGGGTTTACGGTTGAAAACGGTGCATAGCGTATTGTCGTTTAAACAAAACGCGTAGATGCTCAGTTACATCGATAAAAACACTGAGTTGCACAAATTAGCCAACTAAGAGTTTGAAAAAGACTTTTTTTAAGCTTATGAACAACTCTTTGTTTGGCAAATCGATGGAAGACGTGCGTACCCATATCGATGGCCATTTGCTACGTGACGAAGACAGATAAATTTACAAAATTATCTTGCTTGTCAAGTTTTAAAACCATGACGTCGTTTCCCGATTGCAATCTTTCATTTGTCGAAATGTTGAAAAATGAAACTTTGTTGAACAAGCCTGTCTATTGCGGCGTTTGCATTTTAGATTTATCCAAATTCAAATGTACGAATTTTATTACAAATGGAAACACTTTTTCAGACATAAACCCAAACAATTATCGCACGCCGCGTACAAAAACTGCCTGTTTAATCAATGTAAAGAATTTTATAAACAACAGTTGTTTAGATCGGATAAGCATAAATTATTTACCGTTATGCAAAATAAGTTGAGTCTGTCGCCGTTGGACATAAAACGTTATCTGCTATCGAATGGTGTTAAAACGTTAGCCTATGGACATTATTCTATCGGCGGTAATCGGTATCTGCAAGCACGACTTGAAGGTCTTTGTGTACAAAACTCCGTTTGGGGCCGTTTAACAAGTAATACAACGTTGGCCCCGTTTTCACCTTTTTGCCCCGGACTCGTTTAAATTGAGGTGTGCGCTTTTCAATTTGGAAACGTCGATGCTTCAAATCGGTGGGTTGCCGCTCTAACGGTACCGCCTTCTGCTCGCCTGGGTAATATAGATACCGGACAACTGTATCTGAGGGTAGTTCTATCTCTCTTCGTTTGGGGACTGGTGCAGCTGGTGCTTGTTTCACGTAGTCTAACTTGATAGTTACTGCGGGCTTTTTATTGATTAGTCTAGTCTTTTCTTTGTTTAGCACTTTTATAACCTGAAGCAAACGTTCGGGCCATTCTACGTTACGTTTAACATTTCCTGCGCATATTGATGACCAAACAGCCGTTCAGCCAACGTTCAGTTAAATCTTTCAACGATTCCCTGGGATCTACATGTATGTACGCCCGGTTTGCCCACTTGAATTTCGACCTTGTTTTTGATCAACAGCTTTTTAAACTAACCTTTATTCCGATCCCAAATCGACCATGGCAAATTTAGGCAAAGGCAATAGGCCGTATATCCGTTTCTCAGCGATAGACACTTCTTTGGCTGTTTTACTGGTTAACGGTTCAGCTTCTTTATACCTAGACCCAACGTCAACCACGGTCAAAGCGTATTTATAAGTTTTGCGGTTTACCCGATCCCACGGTAAATATAGCACGTCCATCTGATGGGCGTAATTTGGTTCAGTAGATTCGGATTGCAACGTCATCAGCCTAGGTACGTATCCAGGGGCAGGTAAATAAATTTTTATCTGTACCAGTCTTTTCATGTAACTGGTCTATGGCACTTTCTCCTTTCCCAAAACCTTGTGGACTGTAAAACAATTTTGAAAATTCTTTGTTCTTTACTTTATCCATAGTTTTCAAGTTGAAGCTTTTTTTAGAATAAACTTAACTATATCGATACGCCAAAAAAAAAACCAAAACAAAACGACTAACGCTGTCCTTCCTAAAATCTACACCAATTTGCGATTTTTCTGATCTCCCAAAGACACGTAGAAATCTGACAACTTGGGCTCTGGCGGCAAAGGCGTAATGCTTCGTCCACGTTGACGAATTGCTGCTGACTCGCGCGTTCTTGCCTCATGCACTCGTTTAGAAAGTCCAACAGATGCACGCGAATTTCTCCCCAGGCTTGTTTAGCTTGTGCCAATTGTTCCAAAGCAAGATCGTGTCGTTTGCACTCTTCGTCGACCTTATTTTGAGATAAACTGCTAAATAAGAAATTGGAGCCCGTAAACGCCAACGCATTGACTATGGCCCCTCCAACCATCATTAAAGCACTCGCCATTTTACTTTATAAACGTTTTATTCTAAAACCTGGACCAAGAAATCAAAGACAAACTGACAGAACTTCAAGCCGATCAAACAAACATAAAGGGTATGCTGGGCGACGTGCAAGCCGACATTGATCTCAACTCTGACATGCTTTTAAGTGGTACTTAACGAAATGAGAGTTGAAATGTTTCGTAAGCGTGATCTGTTGGGTGAATACGAAGACTTATTTTTTTGTATCGTTGATCACGATTTCGATTATGTTTGTGATTTGGAAATAAGCCAGTTAAATATAAAACCATCTATTATAAAACAGGAATACGCAATACACAAAGAAACTGAACCCCAGCATAAGGCTCAAAGTTCCTTGGGCTATCAATGGCAAACGACGCGAAGTTACCATAACACACGAACTGAGCACCATAGCAGCTGGTCATACTTTGAACGTCAAATTTCCCACATTGGGGGCAGACGATATCGTCGTGCCTGGTACTGCAAAACTGGCTTTCAAATTGGAACTGGACAGCACCTCAGACGACAATCGAACTGTTTACAGCATCATCGCGTGTAACCTAGTGTCGGAACTCAACGTTAGTTTACAGGGCAATAAAATCGCCAGTTACCGAATGCATATGTTTTTCACAATTTCAAAGACAACTGGCTACCTTTTGAGGCAGACTAAAAATATGGGTTACTTTGGCTTGGAACGCGAAAACATGGCCAAGTTGCGATTAGGCGCAGCAGATGCCACCGAAGCAGCCAACGACTATCAAGACAAAGCCATTGCGTATAAGAACTGATACGCGATTCTGTTGGACGTACCGTTGTTAACAGACCTTTTTATCCCTCGGGTTTTAAAGAACCATTGACGTACCAGTTGACTTTTAACGGGCACGACAAAGTGGTCAATTCGACCGACACGGCCGCAGAGTACAGCATTTCGGATTTAACAAAGGTAAACCGGTTCAGCTATATTCACAAGGTTTATTTGAATATGAACAGTGGAATGACAATTTCCAAGTATTTCAGCGATTCGGAGACAGAATCCGGCCGTGCGGTCGTAAAAGATCTGAACTTTACAGGTGTTGGTATGGGTGACTACCTGAAAGATAAATACGGCCTTTGGTTCAACTTTAGAGGTTCAGACGACAATTCGGAGCATGGCTCGGGTAGACCCCTGGGTGGCGGCGGTGATCTGATATATCTATGCAAATGAAACGGGAAGTGGAAACTGCTGGGCCGCTGTATTTTCAATAATGGATGCCCAATTAACGGTGGAAGACGGTAATTTTAAAAAGTCTGGTTTATTAAGAAACCATGTATAAATTACCACACTGCGCTTTAATTGTCGGAAAGTCCGGCAGCGGAAAACTCAGTGGGTACCTGATCTTTTGGAACGGAAGTACAGGTTTGCATTTGAAGCAATCGTGATCATATGTCCGACGTTGTTTAAGAATAAAACGTATTTGGATCGGCTGTCACGGTGGATTTATACAGATGAAAATGTACACCCGTGCGATTTAGATCAAAAGAAACTCAAATTGAACGAAACCGTCGACTTGTACCAAAAAGCGTTTGACGGCATAAATACGCTGTTCATCATAAGACGATTGCAGTTCTTATCAGGATATCAAATATCGGAAGAAGACAGGCAACACCTGTATGCTGAGCAAAAAGGCCGACAGACAGTGGTCGGCATTACTTGCACAGTTGTTGGCCATTGACTGAGAAATATAATTCGGTGCTGAAAGATTACAGAGAGAATGTCGCCTGGACTGCGCTGTTCCATTGTAAAGATCGAAATTCGTTTGAACAGGTGTTTGCATGAAAAGGACATAGTGCCAGATTGTGAAAGGGAATTGATTGAAACACATTTACGCGACTTTAAATTTTAGCAAGTTGGTGTTACATACTGAGCCTCCCGTAGATTTTTGTGTTTATAAAAAATGAAAAATTTGTTTATCTAATACCCAAAATTTAAGATGGAAACAAAAATTTGTAACCAAATTGTTTAAAACTAAAGAAAACAGTGAAATAATTGTATACAACGCAACGATTCATCAAAAATGTCTAAAATGCGTTTTAAATGTCAGCATGGATGAGAAAAATACCGATGTAAACTTTGTAATCTCGGAGGAATTTGCGGCCACGGCCGACGAAAATACGAATGCAAAATTTGTGACGCAATGGTTACGCAATTGTAGAAATATGATAAAGACAATAATTGTTATTGTAAATGTAATATGATTGACGAGTCAACAGATTTATGAGCTGTTATTATTTGCTTTAAATTGCTTGAACTAGGCTAATTCAGCTTTGTTCGAGCAATTTTTTTATTTTGTTTAATTACATAATAGCTATGCTAGAATATATTCAAGTAGTTAGTCAGCTACATATTGCCCTAAATTTAACTTATTCTCAGACGACACACAAAACACACTTGGAACATGAGATTGACTTTAGGGCATCGCTCTTCGTGCCGCTAATTAGCTGTTTCAGCAACTTTGCCGAAACAGGTATTGTTTTTCTGATAATTTTTCTTCTTCAACTCAATTCCTTCCACCAGTCGACTTTGGCAGTTTACTAAATCTGATCGACTTCAAACTTGGCAGACCTTTGAACCATTATCCAAGGACGGTCCCAGAAGAAATTCACAGTGATAACTTCAGTAGTTTATTTATTATTGATTTTTTAAGAATTAATTTTAATAAACTACTGATAACTTCAGTAGTTTATTTATTATTGATTTTTTAAGAATTAATTT